GGGGGCCGGGCTGGCCTGAGTGTGCCCAGCACATGGCTGCTGCTCCCCTATGTCATGACATCTCCTGGGTGTATGAGTGGTTCCCGTCAGGGGGTGGGCGATACTCGAGACATCCAAAGGATTTTTATCCAAATTCGACAGGGCCCTGTGCACCTCTGCCACCTCGCACCCTTCATGGTTCCCCCAGCACCTCCCTGCACACCGTGCATCTGCTCTCTGCACCACCGGGGCTTTGGAGACATCCAAAGGATTTTTTTCCAAATACCACAGGGCCCTGAGCACCTCTGCCACCACGCACCCTTCACAGTTCCCCAGCACCTCTCAGCACACCATGCATCTGCTCTCTGCACCACTGGGGCTTTGCTTGGCCACTGCCCTCCCCTGCTCCTGTTGGGTCTACAAAAGCCCAGCTCACGGTCACCATGGCCAAATCCCAAAAACATTCGTGGAGCCGGCCAGCCCATGGCCGCCCCAGGCAGCGCGCTTTTTGGCCCTGGTTCCGGGCCCATCTTCCTGGACGACGTGCGGTGCCTGGGGGACGAGACCTCCCTCCAGACGTGCAGCCACCGTGGCTGGGGCGTGCACAACTGCGGGCATTGGGAGGACGCCAGCGTCATCTGTGCAGGTGCGTGGGCAGTAGAGGCCAACGGCTCTGCTGTGGAGCTCATGGTCTCCCATGTCCCCATCCCCTCCTCACCATAATCATCTTCGTGGTACCCTATGCCTCAAGGTGGGGCCATGCCAGTGCCCCAGCACCTTTCTTCTGACGAACACTTCTCACTTGTGGCTTTTCTTCCCCCACACCCACAGCTCGTCTGGCCACCCCAACACCTTCATCAGGTAATGCTCTTCTGTGGTTCTTCTCACCTTTGTTATTTGTGGGCTGTCTCCCTGCAGGGCTTTTTTAAAGTTTATTTTTGTTTCTATGGGAATATGACTTTTAACTTGCATGAAGACTCCTAGGCAGGCTGTGATATCCCCTTGCATTTCAGTGATATTTATTTTGCAGTTATGTTGGTTGGCTGTGGGCAAACAATTTCCTCACTGAGGTCTTCAGCTGTGTCAAGGCTTAGAAAGTGTTGTCTAAATCTCTAACTTTTAACCACTTCCATCAATATTGGCAGGGTGGCGTAGGTACTGTGTTCAGAACTGAAGATCTAAAGGGCAATAACTTTAAAGCATGCCAGGACTACATGCACAGTTTTATTTTATTGACATTAACTTTTTTTGTGCATGATACAGTTTCCTTATTGTTGTGATTTCTATACAGCACTCATAAATCACCTTTTCTTCTGAATTTTTTCTTTTTCCATCTTTGCCTTTATCCTCTTCCCTGATGGTGTAACTTAATCTGTCTTCCTCTAGAGTGTCCTTAAAAGACGCAGCTTCTTTTTCAAAACTCTACCGGTTTAATTGAAATGTTCTCTATTTGCATTCAGAGTCATAGGTCATTTATCAGAGAAATTGTGTGCAATGGGTAATATTCGGCTTTTCTGCTGACTAGAGCTGTTATGGTCTTCAGCCCATTATTTTTCTATTAGAAAGCAGTTATTGGTTTTAGATTGTGACTATTCACAGTAGAAGATAGCACAAAAGTGAAGGTGCCTGAAAGCCCGTCCAGTCTGATCAGGGGAAGGGGCAGTGTCTGGGTACAGCTGATGCTCCCAAGCTTGGGATAGCCCAAGAATCCCAAAATCCTGAGGCGGGGAGGAGTGTGCTGCACTGCAGGGTATCACTGTGCAGGAACATAAGACAGGGAGGGTGTTACCTTATTTTTGGCATATGGCATAGGAATGAATTTCAGAGCTTGTGCTCACCTTGCTATAGGGAAACTTTTAGGATTATTCTGTGTTTAACAGAAGAATTAAATGTCATTCATGCTGGCAGGAACATGAAAGCTTTTTCAGCTACACTTACAGGAGAAACAAGAAGTATTTAAGATTTGGCCCAGCAGCCCGGAGTGCTTATTTCAGTCTGAGACCATAAAATTACAGAGTTTCCTAGAAGACTTGCAACCTGGAGTGCTTATTTCAGTCTGAGACCATAAAATTACAGAGTTTCCTAGAAGACTTGCAACTTATCCTCCAAAGTCCTTAAAGGAATAAAGAAAAGCAGCAGAGTAACTGAGGGGATGCTGTCTGTTCAATGAGCTTCCATTTTGGCTGTCATGACACCTCCAAGAACCTGATCCCAACTGCAGAAAGGACAGACTAGAGCAGAAAGCATCAAGGTGTTACCAGCCCAGCCTGAAGAGGGTGGCCTGACACCACGGATGTGACAGGGAATTACAAATGCAACATGAAAGTAAAGCTAATGCAAAAACAAATATTTGATCTGGTTTGGGTCATACAGAACATCATCTGCAGCCAGCAGAAGATCTGCTTTTCAGGAGTGGTGGATGAGACATATACAGCTCAAGTACAGTGTTGTAGAGGTTACTGTCAGTAAAATCTCTTCCATTTCTTTCTACAGTGTCTTATTTTTGTGGTGGCTCAATCTCAAATTCCTCTGGGATACTGCAGAGTCCCTTCTACCCTGAAAGTTATCCAAACAATGCTGACTGTGTGTGGGAAATACAAGTAGAGAACAATTTCCGTGTTATGCTCACATTTAGAGATATTGCGTAAGTAAAACCTTGGTTCCCTGGGCAAATAACAAAGTCAAAACTTACTCGAGAAGTCTGAAAACTTATTTAAAAGAGGCAACCTTCCCAATTTTAAAGATACTTTCAGTAGCATCCAGCAGCTTGAAGACCAGAACAAAATCTGCATTACTCTAGTATTTTCTGCTCACAATTTTCTGTTACACCTACATACAAAATGAATAAAACCTCTGCCATGAAAACTTTAATGTGAAGAAAAATTTCATCACATGTTAGGCAGTTAAACCAGAGTTTCTGAAACGCATTTGACAAGGTGCTGACGTTTCTTCACCAGGATGCAAAGTGGCAGATGCCAGTATGACTACATTGAAGTATATGACGGGCCTCCACACTCTTCCCCTCTTCTTGGGAGACTTTGCTCTGGTTCCTTTCCCACATACGTGTCGTCATCAAACATGATGACCGTTCGCTTCCACAGTGATTCTAGATACACCTTCAGAGGGTTTCAGGCTCACTACTCCTCCATTCCAGCAGATCATAACACTAGTAAGTTCCTGGTTGGTGTTTCTCAATGGACAATCTTGTTTATTGATTTTTTTTGCAAAGTAAATATTAGTGTACATTTAAAGATGTTAGTGAAATAAAATTATGCGTGTGAAATATGACGGGTTGATGTGTGAACTGTCTACCTCCTAAATTATGAAGAAACCAGTATTTGGTTCAATTACAACCTTTAATCATTGACAAATTGCGGAAGTCACTAATATATTGTATCTTCTCCTTATACCAGCCCTTCTGTGCTTGCCAGACTACATGCATGCTGTGGTTAGCAGAGACTATCTCCAGTCTCAAGGTTACTTGGTGCAGATGGTCACCCTGAACGACAGTCGCTGCACACCCACAGTCACGTCACGTGAGGTTATATTCAACATTCCCTACAATGGCTGTGGGACGATACGAGAGGTATGCTTACTGTTGTGCACACTGATTTACAAGATCCACTTTGAAAAGAGTTATGGAAGGCCATTATGGCCCACAGTGCTAGGAAGTGAACCAATGAGACCCGGAGACTTTTAACTTTCCACACCTCAGGGAATCCCCATGCTTCATAGAAATGAGCTTCGAGGGAGGAAAGCATAGGAAGAAGTTACATGAACTTTCTGCGATTCAAAGTAGAAGTAGTGTTTTAAGTGCCACGCAGCTCTGGCAGGACTGTGTATTACATGACTGGTGTTTTGCGTAGATGTTCAATGAGTTGGCTCTGCCTTGCTTTTAACTAAGAGTTTTTCTCCACTGATTTCTGTTTAATTACATACTTCTGCAAGTTTATTTACAATGTGTGAGCAGAAAAGACCAACGTCGAGCTTCTTGGTTTAAAGAGTTTAAATCTACATTTTTAAATTGCCTATTACTCTATCAAAGCTTAGAGCATGACAAAAATGCAATTCCTCACTCCAAATTACATGTTAAACAGGAGAACAATGATACAATCAATTATTCCAACATCATCAAAGTTACGTCTTCTGAGCACGTAATCAGGAGGAAAAAGGATATCCACTTACACATCAGTTGCAAAATGCTACAGAACACATGGATGCAAGTAATGTATGTTGCTGAGGATACTGTCGATGTGAACGAAAATCAGTTTGGAAGATACGACATGAACCTCACTTTCTACGATTCCTCATCATTCTCAGTGCAAGTGCACCGCTCTCCATACTACATTGACTTGAACCAGGATTTGTATGTTCAAGCTTATCTTCACAGCTCTGACAGAGAACTGAACGTGTTTGTGGACACCTGTGTGGCATCACCCGATCCTCTTGATTTTAACTCTCTGGCCTATTACATAATCAAGAATGGGTAAGAGCTTTCTCAAATTGTTAGAAGCATAGCTGTAAAACCCTTTCTGCATGTATTTAAAACAATGTGAATTCGTTCAGACTTCATTATCAACAGACTGTTAAAAGGAGTCTTTGATTTTTTGTTTTTACAGCATGAGCCTGGAAATACGAAATCACCTTTAGACCTTACTAGCATTTTGTTTCACTTTCTTCATCCTTGACGTACATCCAAAACTCAAAGTAGTGGGACTGAGGTAGAGGAGAGGAGAGGAGATGGTGAAAATTGACAGCAGGAATTTTTTTTTCAAGCATTAGACCCATTTTCTTATGCCTCATATAGCACAGACGTTAGTAAAAGTCTGTTCTCCCCTCTTCACCACTTATAGTCGTCTTCTCTTGGAAAAAAAAGAGTTGTCAATGATCTAGCTGCTTCATAGGACTTAGGGAAGTCTATACTTATAAAGATTATATTATACCATACAAGTTGCATTTTTATCCATTTGTGTTCTTTGCACCTGGCTATGATATAAATTCATTTTAATCTATTGTATTTTTTCAGGAATGTACATGTGTGAGTCTATGAGCACTAATTCTCTTTCTTGTTTCTTTCTAGATGTGTTAGAGATAATTCCTATGCCACATACAACTCCCCGTACAGCTACTTGGCTCGGTTCAAATTTAACGCCTTTGAGTTCATGAGCCGCCATACGTTAGTCTACCTGCGGTGTGAGCTGGCGGTGTGCCGCCTCGGGGACTTCTCCTCCCGCTGCTACCAGGGCTGTCTTAGCAGGTCCAAGAGAGATACAAGTTCTGCCGAGGAAAAAGTGAATGTGGTTGTTGGACCACTTCAGCTTCGAGAAGGGGATGCTCAGAGTAGGAACGCTGGTAAAGTCGAATAAATGTCTCTCATATTTACTTTAAGTCTGCTCAGGGCTTCATGAAAAGCCATAGCTCTGCACTTCTGACGTCTGCTTTTGCTAACTCCACCATAAAAAGGAAGGGATTGTTTGGCTGATTCAAATGTCTACAAATGTCTTCTTTCAACTCCTTGCAAACCCCCTGTTTTCACCTGCGGGTATAAAAAGTACCACTGTTTTGGATGTCCCAAAGGAGAGGCAGCATGTAACCCATTTCACTGCTATATCTCCATTGAACTAATTAGCTCCAATCTGATTGTGTAACATCATGACCAGCTGGGAGAAAACTCCCAGTCTTCTTGAGAAACATTCAGTTCCCTCAGTTGTCTTCTGCTTGCGAAGTTTGCTTGGTTAAGTTGTCATCCCTGCCAATGTAAAGCCTGTTCAAATAGTTCAAAGCAATGAAACTAAGAAGTTGGTTTCTTTTTGATTCTGATCTAGAATTATAGGATCATAGAACGTTTTGGGTTGGAAGGGACCTTTCAAAGTCCTCTAGCCCAACCCCCCATCTAGGAACCATCCCTTTTGCTGAGGCAGCTCTTTGTGCCCTGATTTTTAATGCACTGAGACCAAACCCCCTCTGCCTTCGCTCGCAGGGCTGGACTCTTCTGTGCCTCCTCCCCAGGCAGTTCCCGCTGCTGCTGACAATCCCCTCCCGCCGGTCATTGCTGCTGTCGCCATCCTGGCAGTTGTCGTTTTCATTCTTGCCGGTTTTCTTGCGAGACCTGCACTGAAGAAACCACTTTCACATGGGAGATCAAAGGCCAGCATCAACCACTAAATGACTACAGGGCAAAAGTCACATATTATGAGCCCCCAAAATATTTCACTGACCAGTCATGTATGTGTTGTTTGTAAGAAGCTGTGATATCTCTATCTACCATGAATCCTAGCATGTTTCAATGCTTTAGAATACCTTTGTAATCCTAAGACTTCTTAAATTATTAAGAAATAATCTCAACATTCATGTCACGCATTGTTTGTTCCAATCATTTTATCAATTTTCTCCTCTTTAATTCTCTTCTTGAATCCTTCTAAAACCATTTATCTAATGCCTGGAAATTTAGGGAGCTGGAGAGAAAATACAAATGAGGTATACATAAATATTTCAAGGTTTCTTAAAAGGGAAGAAGATTTAATTTGGGGAGAAGTAGTAGATCATGTCTGGAAAGGAAATACAAATATTGATCTTACCATGGCATCTGGAATTGTGGCTATACAATATTCTAATAACTTAAAGCATTGTTTTTAATGCTAAATTTCTCATAGAAACAATAAAGGATCTGTGCCTATTTATAAAATGCAGAGATTTCCAAGCTAAAGTAATCTGTTATATGATCAGCGTAATTTAAAATCAAAAGAATGTTTACAAAGCAGTAATTCTATTTTGTCTTTCAAATTAATGTCTCTGTGATTAAAATAGAAATGAATGCTTTACTGTGTTGAAGTGTGTGGCCTGCTGGATTAAAAATTTGCCAAGTAATGGATCGAGCCCCTGCTTCTGAAATACTACATAGGCAATTTCTAAATATCTTAATGTGGATTGCAGAAGGAAAGAGCTAATAATTTTTCTTTCTGCACAAGCAAATGTACAGAAAATACCCACCCCTAGGAAGCCGTATTGCCAACTCTTGATTCAGAAATGCCTTTTCTTTTGGTTTCTGTTGCTTCTTTCTGGGTCTCACATAAAAAAACCAAAATGACCCACGTTGTTCAGGGGAATCCTAAGGAGCCGTCTATCTGCATTTCCCCCACTGCTGTGTTCCCTCCAAAGCAAGTGGCTGAGTCCCTGAGCATCCTCTCCCATCCAAGCAGGCCCCACATTCACTGCGGTTCCCACTGCATCACCAAAGGTGAGGACCTCAGGAAAGGTGACAGGATCTTCCCCTACATTCCAGTGAGGAATGACTGTCTTCTACAGCCAGTGTGTTTCTCCATGTTACTGGAGAGAAAGCTTTCCCTCCAATATTTGACTTTCTTCCCATCGATTGTATTTTGAGATGCTTCTACGTACTGCTGTGAAGAGGTGTGGGGCACCTCTGTTTTGTGTGTTTGGCACAACTCTGTGTGCGCAGCTGCAGCAAGGCATTTTAATGGAGTTAAAAGTAAAGGGTGGGTAAAAAAATAATATAAAATCTAGCAGCAAAGGTAAAACAAATCTCGAGACTTCACGGGGAAGATCTTGAAAACCTCCTTGGTTCCTCATTGATGACAGACATATTTGCAAAACTGAGAACAATTGAGCACAGAAATCATCGTGCCCTGAGAGTTCTAGAAAAAGTTCCCCAACCATTTTAGTGTAACTACTGTTGTTCTTTTCTCTGCTGCCGTTTCTGTTATCTCCTCATGACACCCACCTCCTGCTCCTGAGACACCTGCTGTAGCCCTGGCCTTCCTCTTGCTCCACGTTGTGGCACTTTTCCCCTCGAATACCGCAGCCTGTTTCTCACAGAACTGCTAGGTTCCTGCTGCTGTCTCCATCCTCCGAGCCAGCCACACCTGTGCCTCCTCCTCCTCAGCCGTGGGCATTGCTGCTCACCCAGAGCATCAAAAGCACATCAGCTGGAGCTTCATCTGCACCCTCAGCACCACCACCTCAGTCCATCGTCTTCCCAACAGACATTTCCCCAATTTGTCTAGACGATCTCTTCTCATGCCTAAAGAGACTCACTATTGAAATAAGCATCACCTTTGAAAAGGCATTTCACAATGTCCATCCTTAGTTTTCACTGTTGTTGGTCAAGCCCATTAATTCTTGCTCTGTCCCTCCCGGCCATGGGGAATAATTTTCTCCCCTTTCTCTTTAGGTGCATTTTACCTAGATGAAGACTGATTGATTGGTTAAGTTTTCACTTCTCTAGATTAAATAAATCCAAATTCAAAAGATATTGAGTTGTTAGAGGTGTTTTGTTTGCAATATTTAACACTGAACCACACAATCTGATCTAAAGTCTTGTCAGCTCAATTGGAAGCCTCTCTAACCTGACAACACTGTAAATCTCATCCAAGAGATCAAATCTTAGCCAGGAGACTTTTCAGGTCTCAATGAAACATCATTTAAATGTTGAAAGACATTTGCTGGAATCACAGAATGGTTTGGGTTGGAAGGGACCTTCTAGATCACCTCGCTCCATCCCCCCTGCCATGGGCAGGGACTCCTTCCACCAGACGAGGTTGCTCAGAGCCCCGTTCAACCTGGCCTTGAACGCTGCCAGGGAGGGGGCAGCCACAGCTTCTCTGAGCAACCTGTGCCAGGGCCTCACCACCCTCAGAGTGAAGAATTTCTTGCTTATATCTAATCTAGATCTACCTTTTTTTAGTCTCCTTTCCAGAAGGAAGAAGTTTATTAAATTTTTAACACTTTTGGTTGCTGATCACAATAAAATTTTTTAAATTATTTTTTTCACCATGGTTCTATGCTTTGTGGTTGTGAGCGGTTTGGCTTCTTAGGCCCTATGCAGCCTTTCAGAGTGTGTTGTGTGCACTCACACAGCAGGCTGAAATATGCTGGAAATGCAAACAGCCGAACCCCATATAAACATTTACCATTGGTGCATGGAAACATGAAAAGCAATGTCTGGGAAATTTGCCTTTCATGTCCTAGCTAAAAATACAGAGAATTAAAACCAAAATGTAAACTAAAATTTTTTATTTGGCTTTTTGGTTTGGTTTGTTTGTGCTTTCATTTTGTATGGGATCAGTGTTATGCCAACCACATAGTGAAGCCTGGTGCCTGCAAACACAATATAATGTTGAGAACCAGGAGCACGTGTTGGGCATTGCCTTTGCTCTTTTTAAATTAACTCTCTGTAGACTGAGGTTAGAGCTTGTGGTTGTCACCTCCTCCACCCTCAGAGAAGACATAGCAGCCATCAGCTGGCAGGTTTTTGCTTTGAATAACTGCCTGATTTTGGTATTAGACTATTTAATTTCTTCCTAGTGTGTCTGTCACTAGTCAACCATGTAGTATATACTTGTTCACTCAACAGTATCTACTCCACCAGCAATCTCAGCACCAACTAAACATGTCGTTTGGACGTTATGCTAAGATCCTTTGGCAATCCTTGAAAACCTATGTAGGGAGAGTTTTGCTGGGAGAGGATGATAACTGAATGACATCACATATATCCAGACCATGTAGCTGCAAGTGTTTGTAACTCTGATGAAACTGCACATCCCTGAACTACTCCCCTGAAGCGGCACATAAGGTTTCTTCATGGAAAGAGAATGGATCCATAGCAATTTGGTTTCAAATACATACACCTTTTTCGGTAAAATATCATTGTATGGACTATATGGGTTCCTGCCAGTGTGCCTCTCCCAGTGTTGTCAGGCAACATACTTGGCCAGCATTCCAGTTAAAGCAAAGCTCAGAAACAAAGTTCTTGTTTGCTTGTTTGTGTGCTGAATTTCCTGTGTTTTGGTGTCCTGTTTATCTTTCTATTCTAATTTTGGAGTATGAAGCAGATAATTGAACTTGGTAGTCCTCCTTCCCAGGAACACACTATAAAAATATTTATAATGGGGTATAAATAAATATTGTTTTGTTTCTGGATCCCATAGCTCACAAGTAGATTCGTTTTCCGGTTGTTATGTAACTGAGACTAAAAAAAAAATAGCTAATTTGGGTTTGCAGGGTATGGGCAAGAAACACAGTTTTCTGTTTTCATAACTTTCTCTCCATGTCTTGCCATAGAAGCCCACAGACAGTCATTGCTATCAAGCTGAATTAAGCAGTTAAGCATAGCCTTCTGCTCACAGTTCTGCCCTAGGTGTCCTTTAATGCCTAAGACTGAATGCATGCACCAAATTCCAATTAAATAACTATACGAATGTACTCTGGAGACCACTTTCACTTGACTGATAATTTTTTTTTTTTTAAGAACTCCATCAGACTCACCAAGCTTTTTTAATAGGATTGCACTATAATCTACCTTGAATGGGAGATCAGGCAGCCAGCCACTGCAGACGGATTGCTGAAT